GTTACTCAGGAGGGTAACCTTGACAACATATGTCAAGCCCAAGGTTATTGGAGGTGGGTGTGTTAATCTAAATAATTACCAATCTCGCAAAGCATACGTGGCTCTGTTCATCTGCTTGGCTACTCGAGCAGTTCACCTCGAGCTCGTCGGAGATTATTCCACCGCCGGGTTTCTTGGCGCTTTCCATCGTTTTTGTTCCCGCCGAGGCCTCCCAGAGTCCATGTTTTCGGACAACGGTACTACATTTGTAGGCGCCGATCGCGAGTTGTCGTCCGCCTATCGATCCGCTCTGCGGGACCCGGAGTTCCTGAACCGAATCGCCAGTGACAACGTCAACTGGCAGTTTATTCCGCCTTCCGCTCCCCATTTCGGAGGACTCTGGGAGGCCGGCGTGAAAAGCGTCAAGCATCATTTGAATCGCGTTCTCGGCTCTCACACGCTGTCGTTTGAAGAGATGACTACCCTCCTATGCCAAATCGAGGCGTGCCTTAATTCGCGACCGATTGCGCCTTTGTCCGACTCGTACGACGACTATCAATTCCTCACGCCTGGACATTTTCTTATCGGTTCGTCCATTACCGTTGCACCTGAGCCGTCGGTTCTAAACCTCCAAACGAATCGTCTTTCCCGCTGGCAAATGGTCCGCCAGATCTCGGAACGCTTTTGGAGGCTGTGGTCTGACGACTACGTCAACACCCTCCAACAGCGTGACAAATGGCGTAAACCAATGCCTGGCGTGTCAGTGGGACGACTCGTGTTTCTCCGCAATCCACTCCTTCCGCCATGCAAGTGGGAGCTCGGCCGTATAACCCGATTGCATCCAGGGCCTGACGGCCTAACCCGAGTAGTCACAGTGAAAACCGCCGCTTCGGAGTTCGTTCGCCCGATAGGAAAAATTTGTGTCCTACCGGTCGGGGGCTCTGAGGACGGCGTCGAGTGACTTACTCGATCTTTGGGTGTATCCCGAGCTCCGCGCGTTCGCATGCAAGAAGTGTTGTGCGTTCATTAGTTTTAATTTCGTCTCCCCCGCCTTGGCATGCCCTTGTTCGATCCTTTTTGTATACAATTTTGTTTTTGAAACTACGTTTCAAGGCGGGCGGTATGTTTAGGATTAGGGTTGCGCGTTATAGATAATAAGTTAAAATCGGCTCGCGTTCAGGCCTCGTGGAGCAACCTGTCGCCGCGCCGTCGCTCGCCGCGACGTGTTCACGCGAGCCCGCGGGAACC